GGGACATCCAGTGACTTCTTCCAACTAGGCCCCCTCTCTCAACAGCCCCCTATGTTCAGCCACAGGTAATCAAATGAGAGAAGTTAGATTACTGACCTCACAATCTAATCACCTAAGTGTCTCTTAATCCAATCAAGTTGGCTCCAGATTAACTATCCCAATGATTATGGCAAAGGTCCCTGTCTTGTTTGGTATGAAGTTCTCCAGAGACTCATTCTGTGTGAGGATGCCTTCCAGCTCTGGTAACAACAGAAACAACAAAAATGTGTCTCAAACACTACCTCTACATGCTTTATTCATAATAAATCACCTAACCCTCAAAACCACTCCATGAAAAGAGGGCAGTTCTCATCTCCATTTTAACATAAGAGGAAAAGGAGTAAAGCCATCAGCTGTCCCTACTTGCCTGGTTCTGAGTACTGAGATATAGGACTTTCAATCTTAAAACTTGAAACAATGGGTTGACTGTACCCTAACACCAAGGCATACAGAGACTGAGTAAATGCTCCATGGTTAACAAGTGGCTGAGTCAGGATTATGAACTCACAAATTCCATCGGCACAATGGAGGTAAAGATGAACCAACTGAGAAAATTAGCCAGGATGTAGACTGGGCTAAATACTGCACTTCCCAGCACAGAGCCTGGTACAAGGAGATCTTCAAATGATTGTCCAACTGTGTTCTAGTGTGGCACTGCCTATAATTAGCCATATGACCCTGAGTTAAGTCACTGGGCCTCCGTTCATCTTCAAAAGCAAGGGCCAAACTAAATCAAAGACGGCAAGTAAATGGGATTCCCTTGTCCATAGCAGACAAAATTAATTAGATCACTTTTTCCTGCTGCACTCAAACTTGGCCTTCTGAACCACTCACCTCTGCACATTTGGCATTCACAATCCATCCACAGGTGCTAAGGCGTAGCATGATCTCCAAGGCCTTCATAGCCTGTTGGTATCAAACTTACTTCCTGAAACTCTTCTGGTCTCTTACAATTTGGCACTTAGACCAATACCCAAAAACAGGAAGTAGCAAATGGAAACACCAACTGTAATGGTGGAGATGGTCTCCAGACTCAGCAGCCACTGGTTCAATCCTGTGCTGTGTACATATCACAGATATGGAAAGCTGGAGCTCTGGAGAGATCACCTGGGCTTGCCATCCTGGCTTGCCATTTACTAGCTGTGTGACCTTGGGCAAGTTACTTAACCTGTTTCTCTATTCCAAGTGCAAACTGAGGATTGTAATAGCACCTACTTGCTACAGTTTTTACAAAGATTCAGTGAGTTACTCTGTATAAAATACTTAGCATATGCTGTGCTAATATTGTGAGAATCCTCAACATCTCCAAAAAATTAAGGTCAAGAAAGTGAAGCTAGAGATCCAGATTCAAATCCTGATTCCAAGGCCTTTCCTAAGACACAATGCCATACTGCACTGCAACATATATTTGCTAGAAAAATCAAATGATAGGTGATTGTAACCAATAATCCTGACTTTTCACTGGATTAAGAATCACCCAGTACATTTATAAAGCACATTCCTGCATGTATCTGGGTGGAGGTCATGATGGCATGGACCTTGAGGACAACATATGGTCCCTCTCTCATTCCTCTGTAGCACTACTCCACGGCTCTGTTTCCCAGGTACCATGAACTGAGTAGCTTTGCTCCACTGCACTCTTCCACCATAATGCTACCTTGGAGCCTGCTGACCATGGACTGAATCCTCTGAAACCTTGAGCTAACTAAACCTCTCCTCCCTTAAACTCTGGGTGACGGGTATGGTGTCCAGCAATGGCAAAGCTAATACAGCGATACTTTTAATATCTGCAGGGGCTTGCTAACCTAGGACCACTGCACTTCTGCCTTCAATATCTGCCAATTTCCTGTCAGCGTCACTGTCCCCATGACCTGGGGCTCTGGAATATGCCTACATTAACCCCTTGCCTGTCCACATCACCAGCATGGACAGGGGACATCAACTGATCTGAGTACCACCCCACAGAAAGGAAAAAAACATACTACTGATTCTCCAGCTCCTGAGAAATGGAAGAGACTCTTTAAGATTCCAATTATGGGTCTTCCCATATCAGTAAAATGAATTTTGTTATTATATAGATCTGTATCTTTCAGGTAATCTAACAAACACAGCTTAGAGAAAATGGGTAAAGGGATTAAGCATCTAGGCACTATGCTGTATCTTATCTGCTTCTCTCTCCTAGTGAATCTCCTAAAAAATACATATCTTTTTGTCTTAATAACCAGTTATTTGGAAAAATATCTATTCTGGTAAACAACAAAGTTCTTAAAACTAAGGTATTCTTCACCATATATACAGAGAGAGTGAAATGGTGCCATATTTCTAACTCATTCCATCAAGTGCCTTCCATGTAAAAGCAGGAAAGGTGCCTGGCCTTACCAAAAACAGGTCTTAGAGGAACAGAACCAGAAATGGGTTTCATTCCTGCCTGTAAACTGAGTTCGGGTGCTAAGCGGGTCACTGACTAGAGCTGAGCAGATATTCTGAAGTAGGTGACATGGGCGGTGCATTCTTCCATTTCAGTGCCACCACAGGAAGACAGGATGTGAGAAGGTCCCCTGACATAGGATGGCATCGAGGTATAGGATTCTAGCTGCCCATCTACATTTTCAAAAACCAGTTCAGGGCCAGGGATTTAGCTCAGTGATTCCACTGCCTGCCTCGCAAGCACAAGGACCTGAGCTCGATCCCAGGTACCAAAGGGGGAAAAAAAAACAAAAAACAAAAAGAAACAGTTCAGTGACTCCCACCCTCCTCCTTACTCCACAAACAGATAAGGCAGGCAGGAAGAAAGTGATCTGGAAAAATCTCAGTAGGTCCTCCAAAGGCTCTCATGTTAACTACTGTATAAAGGTGGTTACCATATAAAGTCTTACTGTATGAAGACCAGTAACTGCTGACATTCTAAAGGGCTCCCTCCTTTTTAGAACCACTGTACTTAATGCAGGAAGCATTAAGAAAAGCAACCTCTTGGCTGATAACTGGTCCGGTTATCAGCCAAGGGAGAAACCCAGAGCTGTGCAGCAGGGAAAGGGGTCCTCAGAAAATACTGCTTTTACTTCTAGTATTGGCCCCTTGTGTAAAATGTAAAGGCAGATTTCAAAACAAAATCAGATCTCAGCGGTAAAAGCACTTGACTAACATGTGCCAGGCCTTGGATTCGATCCCCAGCACCACACACACATGCATGTGTGGAATTGTTGAATATTATTTATTTACCTTTGGATGACCTTATGTACCCAGACTGGTCTCCAAAGTCTTGGGCTCAAATGATTCCTCCTACTTCAGCATACTGAGTAGCTCAGAGTACAGGCATGCATGACACCATGCCAGCTAGAACCAGCTTGAGGAGGGGAAAAAGACTAGAAAGCATGATAGTCATGGGAAACCTGATTGGGAATCTGAAAGTTCCAGGCTCTGGCACTTCCTGTGTGACCTTGAACAGTCACTGAACCTCCTGTCAGAGTAAAGGAGTTAGTCTTCAACTTCTCTGAACACCAGGGATAGTAAGTCTGTTCTTCTTGGACTGTTTGGCACCTGAGATGAGAGAATGCAAGCAAAGGGCACAGCACCTGGGTCATAAGCTGTTGCTACCAGCTTGCATTTGCACCTCACTTTACATTAACGTTATGTGACAACCAATAGTTAGAAAACTTACTGTGTACTAGGCCCAATGCTGAGCTCCGAATTTCAGCCAAGGCTTGCCTTAATATTAACATGCTGAGAGTAATAGTACTCACCCCGATTACTCTAAGTTTAAATGAGAAAATGCCTCCCATAAAGGGCTTAGTACAGTGCCTGGTGTATACAGAGCACCTCACATGAAGGGAAGCCTCAATTGTCTTGGTAAAACAGGAGGCTGAAAGGGTTGATCTCAGTCTGTTCCTCTCCCCAGTTAGCCATATCCTTTGCTGCCTGGTCTCATAGCAATGGTCAGTACCTGGGTGATACCAGGTACCTGGCTCTACTAGAATTTAAGAAGGACCCTGTGTTAGCTTCCCATTACTGTAACAAAACATCTGAGACCATTAACTTCAAAAGATGAAAGGCTCACTTGGGCTTACAATAGTGGTAATTTCAGCCCACGGTCAGTTGCTTTTGGGCCCAGGGCAAGGCAGTAGGTCACAGCAGGACATAGGTTTGACCAAGCTGCTCACCTTGTGGCAACCAGGAAGCAAAGAGTGAGAAACCAGTAACCCACAATTCCCTTCAAGGACATGCACATAGTGACCTCAGACTTCCTGCTAGGCTCCATCCTTTAAAGCCAACCACTTCCCAACAGGACTAATCCTCTAAAACATGAGCTTCTGGGGAATGCTTCAGATCCAAACTATGATAACTACAGAAGCCTAAGAGCTTGAAAGTCAATGCAATTAAACCAAGAAACCAGTCAGGAAGAGGAGTAACTAACTGAGAGAAAGCCTAGGCATTTCAATGACTGCTACAATTAGGTTTGTGCATTTTTCCACCTGTTATGTTACAATAAGACATGAAAAGCAGGAACAGCCTCTCCACATCATCTAACACATAAAGCAGCCCTTCCCAGTGCGTATATCACACAGGATCATGGGCACAGTGGGTCAGTCCACGTGGCAGCAAGGGCAGCCATGTGGAGCCACAGGGAGCAGCACAAACACTGTCACTGGGTAACACGAGTAGGCGATGATCTCGAGTACTGAAATAATGTCCTCAGTCGCATACCACATGAATATCCTCAAATCCGAGGGTCATCTCCAACAAAGAAAGAGTACACTACAGTTGCAGGTAAACACCTCTAGACTGTCTTCATACCTGACATCATCCTATACCTTACTCTTCCCTGACAATGAGCAAGTTATCTAGTCTGTCCTTTCCCCTCCCCCAACTTCCTTACCCACCAATGGAATGAAGTTAAATTACATTTCCATCACTTACCAAGTCAATGGATATAACAACAGACTACACGTTGGTTTTCTTTTCGAAAGTTTATTAAAAAAAACTATCTTTTTACATTCACCTCTCAGAACATATAGTGGTACTAATGATGTTATATAAAAAGCCCACCCACTGTCTGAAACAACTGCAGATTAACCATGTTCTGGTATTAAAATGTTTTGCTCTCTGAAAAAAATTGGTATAATACTAAGTACCAAGATTTCTAATTCTTAGATGAGAAACAAAATTTTTAAATGAGGAGGAAATTATTTAGTAAAAATTCAAGACTGAAAGGAAATGTTTAAAAAAAAATATTGTAAAAATAGACACCCCCCCAAGAGTTAAGTATAAAATGCATTCAACCCCCCACTCCCTATTTCTCTTAGAAAAGCCACCCAGTCCTGAACGTAGGGTCTCATATACAAATATGTGTAGCTTGATTTGCAAATTGGCCTCTGGGATCATACACTTGTCCTAGTTAAAAGTAAGTAAAAATTAGTTTAGGTAGTTAGACATCCTTAAATACTGGTATCCAAATAAATGGAAACACTTTGCCTTTGGTATGGCTACAGAAGTCTACCTGGTAATCGTACCATAGGACACTAGTTTGGGGAGAAAGGGACACAGAGGGGAGGACACGCAAACCCTCCCGTGTGGAGGGTAAAATAAATATCAGGACACATCCCGAGCAAACACTGCATAGAACACTTGAGGAAGATGTCTCTAACAAACCACACACGCAGAGTCTTGGTCAGAACTGTCTGGAACAGCCTTTTTCAAAGGGTCACTCACAGGACACAGCCGAACATGTGTGCTGGGGTCTACTGTAAGACAACGACCTTGTAAAGTAAGAATGCCACCTAGGTTGGCAACCAGCCCCTCTTACTCCAGAAATCTCAAGCGTCTGCTTCCCCTTTTAATTAAGCATCTGTCCGTCACTGAAGGACCTCCATGCATTAACAGAGACTTCTGCCCTCGGTCATCACGGAGGTCTGTCACAATGGTTTAACTACCACTTTTTCCCCCCGGGGGTGACTAAATAAAAATTAAATCTGCTACTAGGACTATAACTTACTATGCTGTGTCTTGAGTCTGCTCACATTTTCCCCCATTCTTGCAAGGTCACGAGTAAGAGTTGTAAAGACACTGAGAAGAAGGCAGCAGTAGGGTCAAGACCACGTTTAAACATGGCCTCTAATATCCTCAAACATTCCAGAGGAAAGAACTCAAAGATGCCCATACCCTGGTCTTCAAATAAATAGTTACTTCACAAAGTACAAAGGTTAACACCAGAAAGGAAAGAAACAAGGCAACTTCTTGTTGCTTCAATGCACAGCTTTCAGGGGCTATCAACACAATCCCTTACAATAAAAAGACACTGTGGCATACTACTGAGGAAGACAAGGAAGATGATCAGGTTTTGTTTTGTTTCTTTTTTTAATTTCTTAAAGACTTTTGAGGGCAGATGCATTCTGAATGTATCTAAATAAATTTCCATTACAGGGCACTTGATAAATACGTTACATGACACACACCACTGGTAATTCAAGCAAGAGAAGTTGTCCCTCACAGCGCAAACCAATGGTGAAGCTATTGCTTACTATGACCTTGGTTCACTGTAGTGAAGACCCTAACAATGAGGGAATGCGGGGGGGAGAGCAGAAAGAGAACACTGGAGGAACTTTTGATAAACATCACTTATCCTGTTTCTAAATAAGACTTCAAAAGCAATTTTTTTTAAAAGGAGGAAAATGGATATAAATTAAAACAAAAATTTATCTGCACAAGTCTTTACTCTGAGGACTGTTTGGGGTCCACAGAAGCCAGAACTGAGGAGGTGATTTGTCACCACAGCCCCCCAAGCACTGCAGAGTATGCAGATCAGAAACAACATGAAGAGACTCCAAGTGACTGTGATCAAGGAACCAAGGGGATTGTTTATCAACATTCCTAAAATGTGTTAAGTTCTACTGACTTCCCAGAGAGATGCTAACAGTTGCTCTCGCCCCAAATGCTTGAAACCTCAAGATGGCAGCTAGAATATAAAAACCCATCTACCATTGAACCAATCACTTCTCAATCAAGGGGCAGAGGCGAAGAAGCAGGGAGCATGGGGAAGGCTGTTTCATCAGGACTTATCAAGAAGACCGCAGGTTTGGTCGAAGCCACAGCACAGCTTTCCTTGTCTCCAACGGGGCCAGGTCTCCCGACAGGCTACGAGCGCCCAAGGCCTGGTGACAAGGTTCCAAGGCGCGGAATGGCCAATGTGCAATAATAATACCAGCACCGAGAGTGACACCTGAATTATGCATCAAGCCCACAGATCGCTCATTATTACACTCTCAATCTCGCTGTCCCGCCTGTGAGAGAGAATCCAATGATCAGCCTGTGACATGTGCTGCTTCTATTTACTTAGCAACTGCAGAGAGAAAGGGATTACAAATGAAAACTTCTGCAATCACCACTTTTTGTTCCACCTTGAGCTAGAGTAAGTGTGTCTGACTAGATCACCAGCATTAAATAACATTGAAAATATGGTAAATTCAGCACATTACAAACATGAAATGTCCCCTACCCCAGCTCCATTTACTGCAGTGCACAGTCTCCTGTCGTTCAGCCAGGGGAATGGGTGGCAGTTGCCAGATGTTACACAAGGCATCTATTTCCCTGAGAAGGCTGCGAGCCAGGAGAATTAATCTCCTTCCGCTGGGACCTCTGCCCCAAGTTGCTGGGAAAAGAGTGAATTGGGCTTGACAAGGGAAGCAGCTACGTGATTCACTAATCAGATTCAAAACAGGAAAATGCACCACAAAGTGTATTCCTTCCTGCTCTTTTTCACAGGAGAAAGACCTAAAGATAATTCATAAAAAAGCTTGTCCCTTCAAACTCAAAGGAGGTTTTAAAAAGAAAGTGTGAGCAAAAAACAAAGACATAAAATAAATCAAATCCCCAATACTCCTGAAAGTAAATGTCCATCGTGACGGATGACTAGAAGTCGAGGCAGGAAAGAAGGACACAAAGATGGACGTGGCCAGCCACAAAAGTGCCTTGCAGGATCCACAACAGTGCTCTCCATTTCCAAGGCCAAGTAGTTATTCCCGGTAAGTTAAAAATTTTCTAGTAAGAAGAAAACAAAACAAAAATAAAAACCACTCCAGAAAAAGGGTCAAGGGAAGAGGGACGCTGTAGAAAGTCAAGCCGCTGACCGCCGGCGGATTACAAAGAGCCCACGCTGAAGCTGGCCCAGATAGATCCTCATCTTGGTGCTGTCGCTTGTCTTCCTCACCCAGATCTGCAGGGACAGGAGAGGGAGCAAGATGAGAGGGGCAGAGAAACACTGGAGGGCACGTCTCCCAGAGCATTACAACGGTTGCACGAGTTAGGTTGGAGAGGCAACACCACCACGGCCGTTTGAAAGGGCTATCTCAATGCCTGAGGCTTCACAAGCACACCCTCGACCATGGCCGTTACAAAAGCTGGCCTCCATCACCTCTGAACACATTCTTCCCCACCACATGTCCTATACCTCTGAACAAGAAAATGGACAGCACAGCAATCTTGGGCTGCCTTTTTTGCATGGGTTTCAAGGACTCCTTCCTAACCCTCAGCTTCGTACTACAGATTGAACTCAGGATCTTCACACTGAACTACATTCCCATCCCCAATCCCTTAAAAAATTTTTTTTTTAAATTTTGGGACAGGGTCTCACTAAGTTTGCCAGGCTGAACTCAAATCTGCAATCATCCTGCCTCAGCCTCACAGAGTGTTGGGATTACACTTGTATGCCACCATATCTGGCTTTCTCATAAAGACTCTAAATTTGGTGGATTACAGGATTAACAACATGCAGCAGACATATACTCATGAACATAAACTTCCTGCCAAATTTTAAAATGCTTTCCTAAAAAAAAAAAAAAA